GTGGTCAGGGCAGGCCCCTCTGGGGAAGTAGCATTGAAGCCAAGGCTATATGAAGGGGAAGAGGAGACAGGGAGATGGAACATTCCAGGCAGGACAGGGAGTGCACTGGCCCTGACCACAGAAGGAGCTTGGTGTGTTCCCAGAATTGAAAGACCAGTGAGCCCTGTCTATATTCATGGCCACCAAGATCCATTCTCGCTTTCCTCCGTGGTGATGCATGCTGACACGCTGTATCATGTTTCCCAGCCTCCTTCGCAGTTGAGTATGGCCACGGGGCCGAGTTCTCACCAGTGAGATGCTAACAAGTGGTCTGTGTCGGGAGCTGGGCCCTTAAGAGATGGACATACCCCCTCCTCACTCTCTGTTCTTTCTTCCTCCTGGTTGCATCTGGGACTTGGTAGCCACCCAGCTTGGACCAGAACACCCCATGGAATAGTGGAGCCCCAGCTCAAGGGGCCTGGGTCCCTGAATGACTGCAGAGAGCAGGGCCACTTGCTAACCTGCATCAATCACCTCAGGCAGGTACTTGAGAGAGAAAAAACATTCTATATTCTTTAAGCCACTGAACTACTGTTGTATCTCTCACCTAACCTGACTATTACAGAAACAAAGGAGACACTAGCTCCACCAACCAGATTGCATTTAGAACATTGTGTTTCCTTCAAAGGGTCACTTTTTTTTTTTTTTTAAGAGACACTGACCATTTGAAGCATGCCCAGGGGAAGGTAAGGACAACAACATTTAGGAATCCAAAAACCAAGTCAATGAAAATCTGTTAAGGACACCACAGTTGTTAAGTCTGGAAAAGAGATTTCTCAGGGGTGGCATGACAGCTGTCTTCAAACATTGAGAAAGAGGAATGAAGCTGAATTGGAGTAGCTCCTATAGGAGCGATGGGTGGTTGGGATTTACCACGAGGCAAATTCTGATTCAACATAGGAGAGAAGTTTCTAATGATTAGAAATGATTTGAAAAAGGCCAGATTGTTTTCAGGATCAGAGGCTTCTCCCCGCCACTGTGTCCAAGCAGAGACTGGCTGCCCACTTGTGAGGAGACATTTACAGGGGTGATCTTGGCATCATTGCAGAGATTCTAGTGAATTCTAGGATTTTAGGTAGAAGAGGTGGCAGATAATGCAAGCTGAAGCCAGGTCGTAATGGGAACTGAATGTCGGTTTGGACTGAATCCTGGAAGCAAAGGGAACCTCGAAGGTTTCTGAGCAGAGTAGAAACAGGTTTCTGAGCGGATTAGCAACATGATAAAAGCAAGGAACATGGCTTTGGCCAACACAGGAGGAAGAAATCCTGATTTTCACAGCCCTTATTGGTCATTTGATGCATGCACTCCCTGAACCAGTAGCCATTTAAGGAAAGCCAAGAGTAAAGAATACAGATTTTCATTGCTTTATTCTTGAGATAATCCAAAAAATATTTGGGGACTAGCGTTTTTTTTTTTAACTTATCTTCTGAGATGAATGATCCATTTAGTCCAAGGAACTCAAACTACACCCTTGTCTCATTCAGTCTTGTCTCATATCTGAACTGCTCTGTCAGGGGCAAGACCATCAAACCTCCTCTCTCAGATAAGGAGAAGGACTCACAAAGAGGGCCAGTGAGTTGTTCAAGGTCACGGTGAGTCACGTGCACAGTGGCAGGGCAGGCTCCTTGACTGAGGTCTCCCACGCTGCCCCGAGCCCACGCTAAGGGTGCCCTCAACTAGGAATGTCTCCCACATACAGGAAAAACCAACCTAAACCAACAGTCTTTCCAGAGTTGGAAATTACCTGAGACATTTCAAGTTCAACCAATTTCATTTTGCTGGTGAGGAAACTGAGGTTTAGTGAGGTCACCTGGACAAAGGCAGAGCTATGACTTGAACCCAGTTCCCGGGATCACCTGTACTACATCTTACCATCCTGCCTACCGGTAAATTGCCCAGGAACACCCCACACACAATTACCTGGAATCAACTGGGTCATCACCATTAGCTCCACTGTCTGGAAATATAAAGGCTCATATTGGCTTTGGCCACCAAAGAGAGGAAACATTCTGCAATGCTTGAAAACTCACAGCTGAGGGGGTGCTGGGGAGCACTGTTTGAGCCTTGTACTACAAAGTCAAAAGGGAAAACATGTGTTTCACATTTGTCTTGGGATGGGAAAGAAAAACTTTTCCTTTCACTTAATCTCCATTTAAACAAACAGAGAGACTGCCCTTTTTGTAAACTCACCCAATATCCTTCACTAGCCTGGCGTCAGTTTACTAAGCCACTACAGAGCCACTTTCCTCACCTAATCCCCTCAATTAGAAGGCACTTCAGCTTGAAGAGGGGCAAGTAAGATAATACACATTTCCTCTGATGAACTGAACAAGAGTCAGCTGAGGGAGTCAGGTTTCCAAATCTGTAACCTCTGGTTTCAGCCAGAGACCCAAGGCAATCTGGCTTTAGTCATGACTCAGGATTTGGGGAGTGAAAGCAAGCGCAGTCAAGTGATGTAAGAAAATTCCCCCCATTCCCCCATCCCCCTGGCATCCTGCTCCCTGGGGAATTCACTCTGAGTGCCTGGGGGGAGGAGTTGCCAGGTCACTGGGTGCTGAGCTGCCTTCTCTCCCATCCCCACTGCAGAGGCCAGGTCTGCAACTGACAAAGGAAGTACTCAATTACAATTACTTTCCTGTTGGCCTGCGAGCTCAGATAATTGCTTTGCAATGTGTGTGTTTGAGAACCTCATAAAGTAAACCAAGAAACAGAAGGGCCAGGTCTGGACTAAAGGGAAGTGTCAAGCCAGGGGGAAGGCAGGTGATGCAAGCCTGCCTTTGAAGTCATTTTGTTTGTGAAAAGTCTGCTGTGCTCTCTCTTAAGGAAACTCCACTGGAATGAGCTTTCTGTGCATGTGGGGTTTAGGGCTATTGTTTTTGGCTCTGAGGTTCACCTCAAGCCCGGCTAGGACATGTATAAATCCCATAACAACAGTCTGACATGAAATTGCTCACCCTCTCATTGCATCAGGGGACTTTTACTCAGGCAGATTTTTGAATGCCTCATTGTTTAACAGGACAGGAAGTTTACTCTTGATGCAAATGAGGAATCTTTCTGTTTTTTTCTCCATAGCTCCTTGGAAGATTTTCACAGAGGCCTGCCTTGTCATCCCTAGTCTAGCTCCTTCCATGCGAGCAGCTGCACCCAAGTTCCTTCTCAGAGTAGGGTTTTCTTAGGACAAGAGTCTTAGGGTTTTCCCTGGAGGTGACTGGGTGATGGGCTAAGGGCCACCCAGGGTCAGGGAAGGGTTGGATCTTCTGAAAGGGGTTGGATTTTTCTCTTTTCAGTTTCTTTTGTTTGTTTCTTATACACACAGAGAGGGAAGCCCCATCACCAAACCTTATCATGCTTTTTCTCTCAAGTGACCAGCTCACATTGGGAACATGGGGCTAGGACTCTGGCATCGAAAAGAAGATGCCTCATTGAGAACCATGACCCACCCTCCACTGGAGCAAATCCCTGAGAAAGAAACTTCTAGAAAAAGCCTTTCAGGGTCCTCCATTTCATGACATAATCTGTAGGCAGACTCTTGAAAAGGCATGAGAAGAACCCTCTCAACCTTTTGCTGATGTCCCCAGCCAAGAGACTGGCCAAGAGAGGCCCTCAAAGAAAGGGTTCACAGATAACTACTTTTAGTCAAAGGAAACCAGATCAAGATGATGACGGGGTAAATGACAGGGACGCCCACCCAAAGCCCTAGTTTATTTGGTTCTGTATCTCCAGAATCTTTTTTTCCTATACATCCAAAAAGAAATCAGTAATGGGAGGGAGGGAGGGAGAAAGGAAGGAAGGAAGGAAGGAAGAAAAAGAAAAAAGTCAAGCACTGTGCATAAGCCCTAGAGATTAGCCTAAGGTTACAATACCATTGCAATTGTCTTCTGCACACGGCTGAATCAGCGTGTCCCCAAGAGTCACAATGATACCTGACAACATATATGCTAGATTTTGTTTGTTTAAAATTACAGTGTTGACCAGGATTTTTACGTGTGTGTATGTGTCTATATATATGTACCACTGTGTGCGTGTGTGTTTTCATTGTACCAAGTCAAGTGCAATTAAGCAAGAAGGAGCAACCTCACTGATGGCCAAGTTCTGTCCCATGCCTGCTTTACACTGGCATCACTTGCAGATCTTTAGCCACAACACACAGGTGCCTAAATGTCTCCCCAGAGATCCTGATTTAATCAGGTGGGGCTGGGATCTGGGGGCAGATTTTTTTTTAAGCTTCCCAGGTCATTATAATGTGCTTCCAGGGTCACCATCCACTGACCTAGGCCAGCCCCCACGCAGCCTCCCTGCACTGGCCCACAGTCAGCCACACTCCTTGCACAACTTCCCTCTTACTCAGGCACTGGCACTTCTCTCTGTGGTCCTCACTCTGGCTTTACCACAAGCTTCCGCATCTGGAATCTGGCACCCCCTGTGACCATGATGATGGCAAAAAAAGTTCTCCCCAAAATGCCCTCAAGCATAATTTAACATCCTAAATTACTCCTTCACACTCAATAAAAATGACTGTGTTTGTAGCACATCTGGTCATTCTTACATGATGAGGTGGGAAACACCAAGCTGTGTTCAGTGGCACTTGACTGCCTGGCTGCACCCTTCCTTGGCTAGTCTGCATCCCAGATCCCTCAGGAGCCAGTGCAAAGCCATCCTGTGCAAGGCACATATAACCACCCGTAGTGAACCGCCCAGGGCCTGGCACAGGGCCGATAGAGGCTCAGCAAACTTCTGATGAAACTGAGACTATTAAAGTCTACAAATTCTGGGTGCTTCCCCAACCTAATTTGGGCCTGGAAATTCAAATGACTGGATTAAGAAAAAGATGTCCTGGTAATTACAAAGCCCCCACTCTGAGAACACAGTGAATGACAGAACTAGCCAAGGAAATGCAGCAGCGATCAGCAGATATGCATATATTTTACTCTCCCTGCCCCTCCCCCTTCCAAGCTCTGCCCAGGAAAGGAACAGCCTCTTATGTCTTCACAAGGCCTTCCTCCCCATGAGTGTGTCTGTGTATCTCCAAATGTCTCTCTTCATAAGGATGTCAGTCACTGGATTTCGGGCCCAGCCTACTCCAATACATCCTCATCTTGACTTGATTACATCTGTAAAGACACTATTTCCAAACAAGGTCACGTTCACAGGTGCCAGGGGTTAGGACTTTAACATATCTTTGGCGGGAGGGGAGACACACTCCTACAACATCCAGTGTGCTGGTCTCTGACCAGGCTACATCTAGAATTTGGGGTCCAGCTCATGAGCCATATTTCAAGATGTCCACTGAAAAAATTGCTCATATCTGTGTGATATGAGTATCGGTTACGGGAACTACATTCAGCTTAGATCCAGGAGGCATTGAGAGGAGTATATATTCAGGGAACCATAATTTGAAAAGATACATGCACCCCAATGTTCATTGCAGCATTATGTACAATAGCCAGGACATGGAAGACACCTAAATAGAGGAATCTGTTTCCATCAACAGAGGAATGGATAAAGAAGATGTGGTACATATATACACAATGGAATATTACTCAGCCATAAAAAAGAATGATATGCCATTTGCAGCAACATGGATGGACCTAGAGATTGTCATACTGAGTGAAGTAAGACAGAGAAAGACAAATATCATATGATATCACTTGTATGTGGAATTTTAAAACAGGGTACAAGTGAACTTAACTACAAAACAGAAGTAGAGTTACAGATGTAGAAAACAAACTTATGGTTACCAAGGGGTAAGGGGGGGGATAAATTGGAAGACTGGCATTGACATATACACACTACTATATATAAAATAGGTAACTAATAAGAACCTGCAGTATAGCACATGGAACTCTACTCAATACTCTCTCATGGCCTATATGGGGAAAGAATCTAAAAAAGAGTGGATATATGCATATGTATAACTGATTCACCTTGCTGTACACCCGAAACTAACACAACATTGTAAATCAACTCTACCCCAATTTTTAAAAAAAAAAGTGTATTATTTGCCTTCAAAGGGAAGCATTTTTCTTTTTAAGATTTTTTTTGATGTGGACCATTTTTAAAGTCTTTATTGAATTTGTTACAATATTGCTTCTGTTTTATATTTTTTGGCCGCAAGGCATGTGGGATCTTAGCTCCCCAATCAGGAATCGAACCTGCACCCCCTGCACTGGAATGCAAAGTCTTAACCACTGGACCACCAGGGAAGTCACAAAGGGAAACACATTTTGGCTCAATATAATTTGACTCAAAGATCCAAATGATCTTTGGACGAAGGCCACCTACCGAGGGCTGTCTACCTGCAGCAGCAATGAGTTACCTCATTCCTCACGCATCTGATAAATACGTACCAAGGCCCAGTATGTGCCAGGCAGCAGGCACCTGGCCAGACGATGGAGCAGTGACAGGCTCCAGAGAGAGATACAGGCCTTGCCCTCAGGAAGCTTCCCGTCTAGTGGCCCGGAAAGGGTGCAGGCAGGCTGGGTGGGCGCACGCTTAGGATGTATGGAGGAGGTTCTCTGTTGAGAGGGTGTGGACCACTGTGTCTCCTCAGAGCCAAGGCACTCTAGTCTTTATGATTCCCAAGAGGCTAAATGTAGAGGAAATTGGAGGTGTGGGGCGGGAGCGTGAGGGCGGAATGATTTAAGAAAAAAATTTTAAAGGGTTTAAATGAACACAGAGGGGCTTTCCCGGCGGGACACACGCAGAGACGCAAGCTCCCTCACACCGTCACACGCTCTATGCAGAAGGGGACTTTTATCTCACAAGCCCGAGGCTCCGCTCTCCCGCTTCCCATCTCAGCCTGACCCCACCCACCCTAAGGAGCAGACACTCATAGGCCAGACCCACCGGGGCTGCTCGGGCTGGAGTCACCTCAGTGGGGAAACGGAATCCCTCTCCCCAATCTCAGCGGACAAAGCAGCCCAGGCCCTAGGTGCTTCCCCTCCTGCCGCGACACCCAGCCAGGGAAAGCAAAGGGAGAAGCTCTAAATCAAGTGTTTTTAGCAGAACCAGGCCCCGGGGGTGGAAGGGAGAGGCCGGCGCTCTCAGCGGCTGCTCCTCCTTAACGAGCCTAAACATGCTGGGCCCGCAGAGTCCGCAGGCGGCCAAGGTAAACCTTCGTCTGTGATGCCCAGGGCGGACAAGCCCAGCCCTCTAGGAAGAGAAACCCCAGCTTTGCTTGCTGCCGTTTTACCACTTGAGAAGATAAATACATTTAAAAAAAAAAGATCTGTCCTCGGTGCTGGGAAACTCCTGGTACTCAACACCAAAGAGGTCTCGCAAAACAAAAAAACCATCTGGTCGCCATCACATCGTTCCCGCCCCCAACTCCATCCTGGCCCAGCTTTCTGACGCATGCGTACACGTCCTCACGTGTGTGCGCAGACGCACTCAGGAGCACACATCCTCATACGTGTATGCGTTCACTGTTCCACCCTTCCACACACATCCCCACACATATCTTCATACATACAGACACATGCCCTCCCACGTTTGTGCACACACCCACCCTCACATGAGGACACAATTGTGCACCCTCGTATAGAAACTTGTGTGCACGCACATCTTCACACAAGGCACACGTCCTCACACATGCACGCAATATATTTTCACACATGCATGCATCCACAAACATCCTCTGTGCACACACATTCATGCACAAACACAGACCCTCAATCCTCACGCATGTACGCCCACTTGTATGCGCACACACACCCTCACACATAAGTGCATCTTCACACACAAACACACATGTGGGTACACATTTTCATACCGCAACATGTCCTCACATGCAGCACACAAAGGTTCACACGCACGTGCACATCCCTGGACATAAACACACATGCATCCTTACATAAACACATGCCCTCACACCTGGCGGCACACTCACACTCACACACCCCTTTTTTTGCTGCTGCTTCCCTGAGAGTTGACTTCTCCTTGACTTGCTTACTGGGCCAGGTTTCGCTTTGAAGCTCATGGCCTGGGACCCAATTGGTAGACAGACGGCTGGTAGCAAAGGCCCAGGGCGTGGGCCATGCACAGACCATGAAGACATTTGTCTGTCATGGAAAGAGCTAGGGCTTTGGAGTTGGGCCAGTAGGGTCCTCTCAGTAGCTGAGTGGCCTTGGGCAAGTTACACAGCCTCTCTGAGTCTTAGCTTCTCATCCAGAAAAGGGGGCTAATATCACCTACTTCATGGGGTTGGGTGAAGAGGCCATGCGGAGTACGTGTTCAGGAGAGAGCTCATTCCATTTGGCTGACCTGAGTCACCAGAACTCCCCAGGCCACAGGTACATGCAGGATGGGACTAATTAAACCGTAGTACTAAAAGCGGTTCATGTTGTTGCTGGTAAAATTAGGGGCATTTTATGAGGTATCTATCTGGCTGTCCCGGCCCTCCCTTTGTGAAGTCTGCCCAGTTGGAGAAAAGCAGAGGAACGAGAAGCTGCAGAAAAGGAGATCCAAAGGATCAGAACCTGAAAGAACTTCACGGCTGCTGCCTGAAACATCTGGAAATACGCTAACGGGCATGAGGAGCAGAGCACGGCGCCAAGCCATCTCTTGGCACGCGTACTGAGAGCTGCCCAGGGAGCCGGAGCAGACACTGTGGGACTTTTCCTCTGAGTTACTGCAGCTTCTTTCTGAAGCCGGCCTGGTGTGGTGGCTGAAACACAGAAACATGGTCTGAATTCTTTTCCCACCAACCACCACCACCACCTGGCTGTGGTTTCTTACTGTCTAAGGTGAGCAGTTCAGTGACAATGACCAAGCCCACATTTCTAGGGAAAAATTATAATATTGTGGGTGCCAGGCACCATGCCGAGTTCTACACACACATCATCTCAATCCTTAAGGAGGCTCTGGAGGTGGCTATTAACATGCCCATTTTACAGACAGGACAACTGCTCAGAGAGGGTGACAGCCTTGCCTGAGATCACAGAGCTGGCAAGGGGACAGGGTGAGGATTTGAACCCAGAGCCATCTGTCACCTAAGCCCTGTGCTCTCCTGCCAAAGAGGAACAAGTGTTCATCTAGCCGGCTCTCCCCCGCCCTTGGGAGCCAGAACCCCCTGGAACTGAACTGCCGGAAATGGATGACCTCAGCCAGCCTCCTCGTTTCACAGACGATGGGGAAAGTGGAAAAGGCCAGGGACTGGCTCAAGGTCTCGTCCTGTGTCCCATCCTCCTTCCCGGACTTCATTCTCCCCGGCAGCCCCCGGACTGAGCTGGAGAAAAACTTTCAGAGACTTCCCTGGGGAAGACAGCTGGAAGGCAGGGCGAGCCAGGGCTGTAATAATGCGGTGATGAGGTGGTGACGATATGCCTGTGTTTCCCCCTTTTGAGAAATGCTCTGGCGTCAGATGAGTCCTGGGGGGAGGTAAGAGGAATTTGGCAGGGATCTGGTTATAAGCCATCTGGAGGCCGACGTGAGTACCAGAAAAGCCTCTGCCCAGTCAGTGTGGGCTCATCCGTGAGTGCACTCACAGCTCCCCAGAGGCTCCGTCGGGTCAGGCGAGAGTCAGAGAGAGGTGGCCCTACCCACAATCCCACGGCGGGGCAGGAACATTCCCCCCCACCTGTTTTGCAGCCTTTGTCCTGGAGGACCAAGCAAGGACCCATTAGACACTTGCCTGGTGGCCTGGAAGCATGTCTCATGTCATTGCCTCAAAAGGCGGACGGACGTCCTAGCACAAGTCACCACTGTTAATTCCTCTGTGCTGGGACTGTGCTCAGCATCTTACCCACATGCTTGCTTCATCCTCACTACCGCGCTGTGGAGTCGGAACCAATACTGCCCCCGTTTCCACTCCAGGACACTGAGACCCAGAGAGGTTTGATAAGGTTCCAAAGGTGATAAGGATGGAGCCAGAACTCAAATCCAGTAGCGGAGGTCCCGGCCCAGGCTCCCATCCACGACACCGAGCTGCACCTGTCACCACCTCCTGGCACCTCGAGGGACACCTAAGCATCACTCAAGCAGAAACGGCCTAAATCCCGGCCATCGCCCGTCCCCCCCCCGCCCCACTTTCCCATCTGAATTGGGGGCCTCGTCAGAGGCAGACCCCAGGAGATTCCACCCGTCCCCTCGTGTTGGCCTTGCTCACCCACGGATGAGTCAGCTGGAACTTTTGGACACCCCGGGCTCACAGCCGTGGTACCAGGAGCAGTCAGGAGGCAGGAATGCGCGGAATGCGGCTCCTTGGGCTCCGGCCTGTCCCTACCCTGACCTGCCCCCACCCCCCAGGCTGAATCCACAGAGAGGCTTGTAAGGTGAATGACAAAGTGTTTGTCGAGGCTTTGGGACGACAGGTGCACGCGAAGATGAGGACAAAACCCGATTCTTTTCGCGGGGCTGCCGCCACAGTTTCGCGCCCCTCCCACGCAGTCCGCGTTCCAACCCGGATGCTCAGCGCCCCGGGCTCCGGCGAAGGGCAAGAAACCACTGATTAGGAAGCGAAAAGTAAAAAATGTCCCGGGTTCTCAGGAAGACGGAATGTTCAACCTCTTTGCCCAACTCTGACTCGGCTCTGCAACTCCGCCACCCTGAAACACGACTTGGGTTTTGTCGCTTACCTGTTCACAGGCATTTATGCAGGCGAAACGGGCTTTCCAGCACCTTCTCTGCGCGGGGCTCTGTCGGGCACTGCGTCTAGATGGTGGATAAGGCAGCAACAGACTTTCCTTCTCGAGGTTTCCTTCTAGAGGAGAGTTCGGATAATAAACGAGTGAGCGTGTAATTACAGAATGGGATCAGGTGAGGAAGGAAGCAAACCAGGTGCAGGATGGAAATGGGCGGGGGTTACTTTAAAATGAAATCCAACCCTCAGAGCTGCATGCTGCCTAAATTTGTCACCTGCCTCTGAGGCCTTAGCTCATGTCAGCCACCCAGAGCCCTTCTCACCCTCCTGCCACTTTGCCCAGTGGATACTGGGTCACCTCCTCTCTCTGCCTGGCTGGTGAGCCCTTCGGGGGCAGGAAGCATGGTTATCTCACACACCAGAGACTCCTGGGGATCCCCTCTAACACACGTGCCCTGGAACCTTTGATTTTGATGCCCGGCACTGGGGAGACACATAAAAAATACTTCTTTAGGGAATGGGCATCCCCAGACTCCAGCTGACTGTGGAAGGCCAGGAGGACCAGGGGCTCTGAGCAAAGAAACCATATTTAGGAAACACTCCACGCCGGGAGCCAGCCTGGAGCCTCATTGGACTCAGAAAGTCCACATCACACACACGCCGGTTAGGAAAGAGGAAGGGTTGAGGGTAAAAACTGTTTGATCAGCCTCTCATCCGGAAGTTCGGGCCCACAGATGCTGCCTTGATTACCTATCGAGATGAACAAATGCCAGAAGTCACCCCAGGCCTTGCTGACGCAGGGCACTGGAGAGAGAGAAACCGCTCCGCTGATTATCTTGGCTTTATCCGCCACATCTGTTTTAGCTCAGCCTCTCTGCTTCTCATCTTTAAAGAGATGGCTGCAAAGTTAGAGACTCTCAGAGCTTGGAAAGGGCCTGAAAGACCTCACATCTCACCTCCTTATTTCGAAGATAAGAGCCATGTCACTTGAGAGACTGTGACTCACGCATGGCCACTCGTCTTGGAGGTGGGGCGGGCAGCTGGGACCATAGTTCTCACCTCCCAGGCGAGAGCTTTTCCCAGTTCTCCAAGCTGCCTCTCGGATACCGCCAAGTCATTCCCACGCTTGCCTCAGTTAGGCCTCATTAGTAAGAGAAGCCGGCCATGGCCCTTTCTCATTCCCCTCCCACCTCCTGCCGAAAAAGGAAGGAGATTCCCTTCCACAACTGAGCAAGGATAGTTTTGCTTGTCATCTGATGCCCGGGACTACCCATGCCAGGCTCCCCTCCAGGGGTGCAGCTCCCTGCCCTCACATGGTATCATGGTATCATAAAAGAATTCACCCTCCCGCCAACCTTGAGAACAAGAGGCCATTTCTCAGCTGGGAATCAATCCACCTTGAGGGCCAAGGCATCAGAGGGACTCCGCTCGGCCCTTACCGGCTGTGTGCTCCTGGGCTGAGGCCTCCCCGTGGATGGCAGGTGCTCCCCAAAGCATCCCAACCCCATTTCCTGAGTCCTCTATCCGGCCAGTCACCTCCACCCAAGCCAAGTCCAGAATCCCTCTGGAAGGTGCTTTACATCCATTCTGGAGGGGAGGAATTGTTATTCCCATGCCCAGTCTTTTTTTTTTTTTTGACCGCGCCGTGTGGCTTGTGGAATCTTAGTTCTCCAACCAGGGGTCGAAACTGGGCCCTCGGCAGTGAAAGCACAGAGTCCTAACCACTGGACCGGCAGGGAATTCCCCTTTCTTTTTAACAGATGTAGAAATCCAGGCTCAGAGAGGTTAAGTTACCTGCCCATGGTCACCCAGCTAGTGAGGGGCAGAGTCAGAATTTGAACTCGAGTCTGACTCCAAAGGCCACCTCTTTCCACAACGCCTCTCCGTGAGCCCCGAAGGAGCTGGAGACATCTCAAGACATCATTGCACTCGTGCTCAGAAATAGTCCCCACTGGTCTGCCTGAGTGCCTGGAATCCCCCCATTGGAGTCATCTCCTGGTGACCCCAACCGTTCTAACAGGAGAGGCCAGAGGTGGGCAGGAGGAGGGTATACAAAGGTTTGATCATGGCAGGACCAACCTGAGGCCCAGGGGCGAGGGCTTGGGAGGGCTGGGGGTTGACAGGAGGAAAGGGAAATGGCCTGGGAGAGAAAGGGCTGACTAGTGGGGCCCAGAAGCTGGCAGGACAGGGCATGAGGGCAGCACCAGTGGGGATGGGGGAGCCTCCCTCCAAACTCCACAGAGCCAGCACCAGGACACGGACTGGTTCTGGGGTGGAAGGGCCCAGCGTGACTGGGAGGCATTAGTCAGCAGTGGAGGTTTATGAAAGGAGGGATTGTCCAGAGTCTCCTTACTCACCAGGCCAGTTGCGTTGTCCCCAGAGACCGGGAGCAGGGCCGGTATCAGAAGGGGACCGGGAACTCTGAGCTGCTCACTGCCCAGGTTGAATGGCCCTAGGCGTCGGAGGCCTGCCTGGCCTCACAGCCTGTGAGTCACAGCCGTTGGCTGGCAGGCTGAGTGTCTTCATTGTCCTCTTAGCCATGGGACAGTGGGGCCAGAGCCCTGGCAGGAGGCCCGACTCCCTCCTCTTAGGATAGAGGACACCCAGGGCTGATTCACGGGGCTCCTGTGCCACGTTACCAGCCTGCTGCCCCATCCGAGGCCCCAGCAGTCATCTACCATTCCTTCGTCGGTCATTCACACGGTCATTCTTTCTGTTGCTGTCTTGGGTCAATCTTTATTTTTTCCAATTGCAAAAGTAATCTATTGAATATTATTCACCCATAAAAAGGAATAAAATTCTGACCAAGGCTACAACATGGGTGAACCTTGAGGGCACTATGCTGAGTGAATAAGCCAGCCACGAAAGGACAAATCCTGTCTGAGTCCACTTATGTGAGGTTCCCAGATAGTCAAAATCATCAGGACAGAAAGTAGAGTAGAGAGGTTGCCAGGGGCTCGGGGAGGAGGCACGGGGAATTTGTACTTAAAGGTGCAGAGTTTAAGTTAGGGGAGGTAGAAACTTCTGGAGAGGGATGGTGGTGATGGTTGCAAAACAATACAGATGTACTAATACTGCTGAACTGTACTCTTAAAAATGATTAAAACAGGGACTTCCCTGGCGGTCCAGTGGTTAAGATTCCGTGCTTCCACGGCAGGGGGCGCAGGTTCGATCCCTGGTCGGAGAACTAAGATCCCGCATGCCGTGCAGCATGGCAAAAAAAAAAAAAATTAAAACAGTAAAGTTTATATTTTGTATATTTTATCACAAAAAACAAACAAAAAATCTGTTATTCGAACAATATATAAAAGGTAATTGGTAAATGTCCTCACCCCACTCTCTGGAATATTCCAAACCTACTTATGTTCCTGTACAATCATGTATGTGTGTGTAACAAAAGTCAGCCTGTGATGGGAAAGGAACACAGTCCCCGGGTGCCAGCCACGCTCCTGGTCTCTCTCTCTCTTTGAAGGACATGCGCATCTCACTCACTAACCCCAGGTGCCAGCTCAGGGCCAGGTGGCAAGGTCATGGCAGAGGTCATGGCATTGACAATCACGACCGTCCAGCGAGAGCTTAGCCATGTCCAGCGTGGTGCTGAAGCCCTAACACGCACGAGCTCACTTCATCCTTCCACCAGTGTGGTGAGGCGGGGGATAGTTCATGCGTACCTCCAAGCCCATTTCATAAAGGAAGACTCAGAGGCTTTGAGAGTTGAGGGACGTGCCCAGATCACATCGCTAGAAAGAGGCAGAGCGGGAGGTCCTTTCCTGTTGAACCGTTAGATTGTACTGCAGATAGAGATCGGCCACGAGCAGAACGATAGGCTACTTGCTCACTTCCTAGTAATCCCTTAATTTCTGGCTTCCCAGGGGGAGGGCTCCTGTGGTCTCATTGACTGTTTGGTCCTCCTCAGGCCCTGGAACACAGTAGGTGTCCAACAAATATTTGCAGAGAGAATAGTTCTCATTCATGTCTCTGTTTGATTGTCTCCCACACCCTTGTGAGGTAGCAAATTAGGAAATATGATTGCTGCCGGTGTTAGTCATCTGGCCAGTGGGCGAGATGGTCACATGGCCGGGCTGGGCCACTGAGGTAGAGCCCCCGGGGCTTCTGGCTCCCTTCCCAGGCCTTTCCAAATTTTTTGTTGAGACCTGGGCCCCTGCTGCTACAGAACAAAGATATTAATTGGGAGCAAGACTCCTTTGAGTCATTACCAGCAGTAATAATAATAATAATTGCAGTCATACTCATTGTAATCTTTAACTCGTGTAACCCATATCGATAGCACCAATGAGGCACTAATATTATCTCAGTGCTACAATTAGGCCTAGAGAGGTTGAGCAACTTCCTCAACATCACACAGCTCAGAAGCAGCAGAGCTGGGATTCAGACTCCGTCTGGCTCCAGCCCATATGCCACACACTGCTGACATCTGAGGACCGATGAGCATCCTCAGTTGGACCCACGGCACAGCCAGGCTGAGCTTTGGTGCGAGATGGGGCTGAATTCCGCCTTCATTCATTCTGTCAGTGAGCCTTTGCCGAGCCACACCCGTGTGCTCATCTGAATGTCTGTCCCGAGGACCTGACCCAAATAGGACGGAGGCCCTCCCCACCCTAGCAGAGCCTATGGCCTGGTGGGAGAGGTCAATGTCCTTATTACACAGTTAATTGTCTCATTAGAGCAAAGATGGGTACCACTGAAAGGGTATGGGCACTGCCAGCCTCTCATGGGCACAGGGCAGGGCCAGGGCCTGGGGAAGGCTGCCCTGTGGGGCTGACATCTCTGATGAAATTGGAAGGGTGGGTCAGGATTGGGTGAGTGGAGTGGGAGAGCTTTGCAAGCAAAGAGCACAGCCTGGGCAGCGGCTTGGCTCTGACTAGGACGGAAACCAATGTGGCTGGAGCTGGTGAAGGGGAAGGAAAGGGATGGGGGGATGGGAGGTGCAGGGGCCCGTGCCTGAGTCCTCCCATAGCAAAGAGGGCCCCTGTAAGCGGCTCACTTTCTCTATTATCCTTAGAGAGAAGTGGGAAAGGGAACGTGAAAAGTTCCCTTTCCTCCCCAGCTGGCGGGGCTGGATGGGTCCTCCCATATGCATTTACTCCACTACCTGGGGGTTCGTACAGCTGTTTGCACTGGACATCATGCTCACTGTCCTCTTTGACCCTCATGACCACCTGGAGGGAGGAAAGGCGAGCAGGTGTCAGGCACCCCCCGCACAGCAGAGGAAATCAAGGCAGGAAGAGGGGCTGCGCCTCCGGGACACGGTCTGAGGTCCAGGCCTTTCTTTCTCGGTGGCCTTTTCTCCTCTGTAAGATGCACTTAATAGCACCGGAGTCCCTGGGTTGCGGGGAGGGCAGGGTTAGGTGACAGGATCCGGGTAAAGAGCTGAGCAGGTAAAGGCTCAAGGTCAGTGTTCCGGAAGTGGTGGCGGCCATCATCACCATCACCATCATCAGTGCTCTTCTCCCTGAGCACCTGCTCTGCTGTGTGCCGGGCACCGTGCCAGGCGCGGGGGGGGCGGGGAGGTATGTGTCCCCTACTCCTAAGGACAATAACGCCTAATGGGGAGAGAGTTAACTAGCGGCCTGGGGAAGCCAGTGGAGTGCTAGATGGGCTCTGGGTGGGCGTGGCAGGGGAAGCCCAAAGGAGATGGATTCTGAGCTGTACTTGGACCAAAACTTGGACCTCGGGAAGGGAGAGCAGGTGCGGACTGTGGGGACACCTCAGATGGCTAGTGGTGGGTGTCCTCGGGGCTGGAGCCGACAGAGCTGAGGCTGGAGAGTTAGGGTCACACCGGCAGGGACAGTGAGCGGGTGTGCACGGGGGATCAGGTCTAAGGACCACCGCCTGGACGATCACGGTCAACACAGCCATGACAGACACAAGTTGCGTCATTCAGTGAAGTGGTCAACCAAGTGGAGCAGATGTTTCTGACAATAGCATTTGTTTGGAATTCTTTTCTAATTATACATGTAAATTATGCATAATGTAGAAAAGAGGGGACGCAAACACACACAACGCGGGGACGGCGGGGGGGGGGGGATGTCCGAATCGTTTGCAGCTCACCACCCCAGATAGCCCTGGTTAGCCCATCAGGGTACCTCCTTCCAGCCTCTGCTTATTCCTCAAAGAGGCCGATGCCAACTGATGTGAGGGTGAAGCACAGGGAGGTTACGGGGCCTGGGGACAGACGTTTCTTAAAGCTGTTTAAGAAAGAGAAGATTTGGGACTTCCCTAATGGTCCAGTGGCTTTGGGGAGAAGGTGAGATTCAGACTCGCCCTTCAAGGAGGGGCAGGGTCTGGAAAGACCAGAGGAATTGCAGGCAAGGGGACAGCACTGCTAAGGCACAGGTCTGGGGAGATGGATAAAGAACGTGACTGGCACTTTCTCACGTGCCAGCCTCTATTCTCATGCATATCACGCGTTACCTCATTTGATCTTCCCAACACCCTGTGGGGCGGAGACAAGAGAAGCCTCATTTTAGGGTGAGTAAATGGAGGCACCCGCACTCTGGCCAAGATGTGGCCGTGTTCCTGACCCAGGGTTGGCTTGGTCTCGAGCCCAGGGAGCCACAAAGGACTGTGGGAGGGGGGACTGGTCTGTCCTCGTGGGGAAGGGGGAGGAGTGTTAGGAGCCAGGGCAGTCGAGGCCAGTGAAGGAAGGGGAGCGATGGGACCTTGGGTCTGTCCGGTCCCATGCTGCGGAGGCTTTATCGGGGTGCTGCAGGTCTTGACAATCACCACTGCCCATCTGAAGCCCAGCTTCCTGGAGCTGGGCCTACCGCCCTGGAAGAGATAAGGCAGCCCTGGTCATGTGGCTCTAACCATCGGTGGCCAAGCAGAAGCTGCTGCAGAGCTGGTGGCCGGCTCGAAGGGAAGCCCCTCCAGGGGCTTCTGACCACCTCCCCAGGGACCCTGCGGACAGGTCATATCCGGACGAGGAAAACTGCTGTAAGGAGGATACTTAAAACCCCTCCTATGTGTACTTTTGGTTCACAAAGCACTTCTACTGCCATTCTCAGCATGAAAGAGAAAGGTGGGGCCTGGGAGGCCACCTGGGGTCCAGGCCTCAGGCCACCACTGCGACCCTGCCAGGGGACATCACCTCTCTGAGCTTCAGCTTTCTCATCTGTCCAGTGAAATCAGCAACACCATTTCTCCTTTTCGTGGCTCGTGGCTCCGTGTCCGGCCAGCCTGTTGCCAACCCCCTCCTGGCCCTGCTCCCTCCCCTGCAGCCTCCCCTCCCTGCTCCCTCGAGGGCACCACCTTTGCACTGCACCAGACCCTGGGCCTTTGCCAGGCAGGGAGTTGAGTCAGACCTCAGTCCACCAACATGCTCCTGGAGTGGATGGGCCCGTGCAGCCCAGGATTCTTGTCCCAACTCCCCTCCCGGCTGGGGCTGGGTGAGAAAGAGGGGAGGGAAGAAAGAGGGGAGAA